TTTTTGATCCATGGTTGGTTGAACTTGTGGATGTGAAACCCACAAATATGAAGGGCTGAATGTATTTATTGAAAAAAAAATATGGCCATAAGTGGACCTGCACAGTTCAAATCCATGTTGCTCCAGAGTCAACGATAAAATATATGAATTTTCTATAAGAATGGCACAGCTTGCCCTAACCGGTTTGGCTCAGTGGATAGAGCGTCGGCCTGCGGACTCAAGGGTCCCAGGTTCGATTCCTGTCAAGGGCATGTACCTTGGCTGCAGGCACATCCCCAGTAGGGGGCATGCAGGAGGCAGCTGATCTATGTTTCTCGCTCATCAATGTTTCTAACTCTCTATCCCTCTTCCTTCCTCTCTGTAAAAAATCACTAAAATATTTTTTTTTTAAAAAGAAAAGAATGGCACAGCTGAAATAGCAGCTTTGCAATGGACCCAATCACAGTGATTGACTGAGGTCTATGTCCATGCCTTAAGTTAGACCTATCAAAGTCCCCTCCTGGTAGCTTCTGTGATGATCTCTTTCTTTTCTAATTGCAAGGTTTCGAAGATGTGATCTAGGGACCAAGGTTACCCTTATGGAAAAACTGTCTAAGAGAAAGAAGCCAATCCACCAAATGGTGATGGGATATAGAGACAGAAAGAAATAGGCCCAATGGTCCTAGCAATTCTGACTCCAATACTATTTGAAGATGTTGCTATCCTAGCCTTCTATGGTTCAGCTATGAGACCATTTCCTTTGTTAATATAGGAAAAGTTTAGTTTCTGTCATATGGGTAAAGGTTAAAAAAAAACTCAAGTGTATATTGACTTTGAAGATCAGGTAAAATAAATCAACTACAGTTGGAAAAGAGGGCAAGAGAGATACTGTGCAGTAATCTCACTTTATATTAGAGTCATGTGAAAAATTAGCTAATTTTTCCTGCTGAGAGTTTTGCTAAAACTAGTGGCATGTCTATTCCATAGTGTAGATTCTTGCCTAGAGTAGTCATTTAAAAAGTAATTTTTGAGGGGCCCCATATCCTATGGAACACCCATATAAAATACATAACAAATTTGGTTAATTTCTGTTGTTAAAACATTTATTTGTTCAATTGAGTTAATCTTAAAACACACAGAAATGGTAACACTTTGATTCATTAATTTCCTTTCCAAGTACAGTGGGGCCTTGACTTACAAGTGTCCCAACTAACAAGTTTTTTGAGATACCAGGTGTCTCTCTCTAATTTTTTTGCATTGAGTTGACAGAGTAATTTGAGTTAACGAGCTCCTTAACGAGCTCCTTAAGGAGCTCGGTCTCGGAATGAATTAAACTCGTAAGTCAAGGCCCCACTGTATTTATTGAGCAGCTACCTTGCCATAAACACAGTTCTAATTACTCAGGATACTATGAGTATTTGCATTTAAACTTCTAGATCACTTTTTTATTTTGTTTTTACCAATATGCATCTATCATAGGGAGCCATCATGCCAAAAGCAGTGCTACATAAAAAGGAGACAATCTCCAAACTCACGATTATCCCTCCACAAAATATATGAGTTAACATGGGATTCCAGCTCCCAATTGTATTTCCTAGATATGAAACATAATGTAAAGTGATACAACTAGATGATCTTTAAGGCTTATTCTAGCTAAAAAGAAATCTGAAGTTTTCTTTTAATTTCCAGGATGTGGTCCCTTTCCAGGAGTCTAGAAACCGGTTAAATTGCAAATTGCAGACTCTACCCCAGAAAAGCTGGATTACATACCCTGAGGGGTGGGGTCCAGCAATCTGTTTTAATTAGCTCTAATGTATGCCAAAGTTTGAGAACCACTGCCAGACCTACGCAGTATGTAAATAATCAATGTATATCAGGATACATTTTCTAATTTTTCTCTTTGTTGCATTTCAACAACATTTTCTCTTTTAGACTTTCATGTCCTTCTCTGCCACTCTCCATTCCCATCCCAGTTAAAGCTATTTTGATCAGACAACCTTGTCATTCCCCCCTTCAAGTTTTCAAAAAGCTCTAATAACATCATTAACTTTTACAAACACAAATTAAGTTCATACAAAAGAAAAAGAAAGAAAACTAAAAGTCTCTTTTGAGAGTGATATTACGCATAACTACTTTTGTTGAGAATTGATGAGTGTTATTAGGGTGGTATATCAATAAGAGCCACTGCGAACAAAAATGGGACAAAATATTTTGGGAATATTGCTGAGCTCTTTGTGAATTAAAAATTATGTCCGTGTCATAGCATTTCCTTGTGCAGGTTATTAGGGATCGACTGCAATATATACTACACACACACACACACACACACACACACACACACAAATACTTTTAAATGCTTGTAACTAAAAAAAAAAAAAGATATCAGATGATCTCCTATAATTATCCAATCGTTCCTACTGCAAAACTCAGAAAATGATGACTAAAGAAAGAATAAAATGCTTGGTACGCAATCACTTCTATACGTAAGACCTTCCTTTTCTATTTAGAAATGTTTGTTCTAAGTGATATGGTTTGAATATGTATTCATTTGCAGCTAGCATTAGTACATAAGTTTATGGACAGATTCATCAGACATTTTATTAGGTATCACTTTTGTTGTTTGGTCCCCGTAATTTGGCTTTAAAACATCATATATACTCATCTCTGAGAGAGTACAAGATGAGCCAAAAGAATAAATGATTTTTCCATAAGATTAATAAAAAAAATAGGGAGTAAATAAATGTTATTTGTCCATGTGTCACTTTCATCCTGCCTCCTTCCGCTCAATATTTTTAACTCTCTTTATAAAATTTCCTCTTTTCTGAATATTTTACCCATGCTGCTTAATAACTGGAAGATAGTGATACCTACCACTGCTGGGGTCCTACTAGCTTTCCAGTTTGGGAGCCAAGTTTAACTTTTCCTTTTCAGGTAATTCCATACTGTATTTAGATATGGATATAGACAGAGGATAGCCATTATTTAAGAGTAACTGGTGATGTGGGTGTGGATGGTATGTTTTAGAGAAATAATTATGATTGGATTTTAAGCTAGAATAGTTTGGTTCATTAATAACAATAAATATTGTAGGACAACAAATTGTTTTCAGTCTTTAGTGAAGGTAATTCATAGTATCATGGAAATACTCTTATACTGTAAGATGGTTATTTTATCAGTGGGAAGGAAAACACCAATTCTCTCTTCTTCAATATTCTTCCCTAAAGTCATTCTATTTTGAGGTTTTGGAGTTTTCCTATTCACTTGCCTACTATTGAAAGTCAAATATTCAAATCTAGAGGAGCAGCACCTTCTCATCTTTCTCATATTATCTGCGATTATTTCTGACCATTCATCTTTATTCAGATACGAAAAGTAAGAATATCATTAAAGATCAGGGATTTCCAGTGTGGGAGTTTGTAACCATGGTACAATTATTTCCACTGTTACATCTTTATCAAGTAAAGGGCCTACAGAGATAAAAGAACTTAAAAAAAAATCTTTTATCTCAACCTCAAAGAACTCAAGCATATTGTTCATTTAACACTTGTAATTACTTCTTCTCTTTTCTTCTCTCCAATTTGCTTACTGCACGCTGTTTCTTTTATTCTTTATTTTAGTTCCCTTCCAGTGGCCTCTGTTTTCCACCTTCTGTTTCCACTGATTTTTCCATGCTGTTATTCATTTGACACCACTTCTAAGTTTCTATTTTTAATGTTGTTGTCTCCTTTTTATTTCATATTTCAAATATGACTCCCAAAGATTGTGTCAAGATGACTTGTTCAGAATGAAGACAGTGATGGATTATGAGGGGCTTAAGGAACTGGGAAGAGGAGAGCGGTCAGGATTGTCTTCATGAGATAAAAGTGTGTTGGATAGACCTGGGGTGTGAGCAGCAAGAAGCAGAAAGCCCTACTAAGACATGACCAAAATTCAAAACCTATTAAAATAATGATTTGGAATAGTGTGCCCAGAAGAAAATAAAAGAAACCAGTCTGCCAGGTCAGTAGCTAATAACCCATGGGTTTGCTACTAAGGAAATGAAAACTTAGGTAATGAGAATGGTAGCTACCTACTGAGAATGGAACTGAAGGCTTCCCATTAATTCCCCTCCCTGGGTCCTTTTGACAGAACCATCAGGAAGTTATTTCCTATTTATTTAATAGCAGGAGATTTGAAATGGAGGGAGGGAAAGAAAAAGGGAAGAAAAGTCCCAGGCAGGCTCTTATTCAGCTCCTTCAAGAGGAGATCCAAACAGGGTACTTTTCTCCTCTGGCCAAAACATACATCAGCATAGGTCACGAAAAGAGGAAGGACAGTTAAAAAAATAGAAAAAAGAAAAAAAAAAGTATCGCTGTCCCAGATAAGTACAGCCAAGATGACTCAGACAGTCTTCCAGGGGATTTTTGGTGTAAGGACTTAAAATTAATAAACCCGCTGTTAGTTTTGTGGAATCCACAGGGTTGGGCAACCTCTTTCAAGAACACTGCCTGATTTCATGATTCCAGGGGGTGAGCGGTCGCTATTGATTTCTGCAGAAGTAAGAACACCTCTGTGGACCTCTTAGTCGCTTTGTGAATGATTGGAGGCCTTCTGGACATACTTGGGTCCTGGATAAACACGTAGGGTCGCTTTACTGACCCTAAATCCAACTCTTGGCCCGATTTATGCGACTTTCCGACTTGATCGGAAAGCGTGGTGGGTCTCTGCTCGAGGGGGAAGCAGGAGGAGTCTAGTCTAGATGTGAGAAGACAGAGGGCAGGCTGCGGGGATGGGGGCTTTTCACGACCCAGACATGGGGGTGGGCAAGGCAGGAACTTGTCTTCCCGCCCTCTGAGGCCAGGGGTTCAGGGAGAGATCCGGAGAGGGAAGGTCCCGGCGGGGGCCTCCCAGTTTAACAACCCGTGGGGCCCGCGGCCCCGGCAACCCCCCCCCGGGCCCGGGGAGCCCCCCCGCCTTTCCCAAACCGCCGGCGCCGCCGGCCGAAAGGCAGCTGCTCGCCCGTCTGCAAGCCCCGCGCCGAGCGCGCGTCTCGGGGAGTTGATGGCAGCACCACAGTGCGGCCGCCGGGCGAGGCGCCGAGCGCAGCCACCCCCGCCGCGCAGAGTGCTTCCAAGATGCTGGGCGATTGGGGCGGCAGCGGTCGCAGCAGCGCCAGGGACGGGGGCGCGCAGCACCTCCGCTTGCCCCCCTCCGCTGACCTGCCTCGTTTGGCCCCAAAGAATGTCCTCCAAGTCCAAGGGGACCCCCTCCTCGTCCTCTCTCGCCGAGGGACCGCCGGCAGGCTCCAAGACCAAGGTGAAGGAACAGATCAAGATCATCGTGGAGGATCTGGAGTTAGTCCTGGGCGACCTGAAGGACGTGGCCAAGGAACTTAAGGAGGTGAGCGGCGCAGGGGTGGGGAAGGAGTGCGGCCCCTTTTGCCCCCCGGGGGTGTCGGTCCGGTTTTCACTAGGGACCGCCCGATTTCTTAATTCCCAGGAAACTATAGTAAGAAGCCTGCAGACAGACTTTCTTTGCTCCGGCGACTCCTGAGAAGAGTTGCTGTACTTTTTTAAAAAACCAGGAAGAAATCAACTAGTGTTTTAATCGATGGACCTGGGATAGTGGGAGGGGTGAGCGCGCGCGTGTCTCCGGATCTCTGTGTGTGTGTGATGTCGGGGGAGGGGGCTAACGGGGGTGTGTCGACCAAGGGAGAAATGAGCAGCCCGGCCCGGAGCTTGCGTGCGAGCTGCTCCTCTCCTGCCCTCTTGCTCACCTGGGGTCCTTTGGCAAGTTGTCCTTGCCTGGCAGCCTCCCCAAGCTGGAGCTGAAGGGGGGCCGGGTTCCGGGCCCTGGGCCAGGCCGGGGAGGGCAGCTGGGGGGAGGTTCGGCTCCAGCTCTCCTCCCCGCCCTCTGAGCCCCGCTGGAAAGGAGGGAACCCGGTTGCTGGCAGGAGAGCCCAGACTTGGGGATGTGGAGGGGGTCCGGGACTTTCTCACTTTCGCAGTTTCTGAGGCATCTCTTGCCCTCCTGCGAATGTCTCTCCTAGTAACTCTGGGCCTCTCCTCCACCCCCTTCCTTCTTGTCTCCCACTTGGCATGGAACCTGGGGAGCTTGGCGCATCCGTGGTGTGTGTGTGTGTGTGTGTGTGTGTGTGTGTGTGTGTGTGTTTTGTACGTGTGCCAGGGTCTTGCCACTTGCTCTTGGGAACCGGGACTGTTTGGGTTCTTTCCCGCTCCCCATCTATGCCACTTATGCCCTCCCACCGCCGGAGAGAAAGAAGCGGAGGCAGTATCTGGGCTGAGCTGCGTAAATCAGGCTGCTGCTCCAGGCGGGGGCGAAGACTGGCTTGGGGAGGGGTGGGTCTCCGGCGAGCCGGCTGGCAGCTGGTGGAGTCGCAGAGCTGGTGGGCAGAGTCCCAGCCCACTGTTCTGCTACCGAATGGGCGCCCGGTGTGCTTCTCCGTCTGGGAGGACGCACCCCGCAGTTGCTCCAGAGCTAAGACTGTAACTTCTGAGGTGGTGGTGCAGAGGCGGGACGGGAAGGGGTGGGGGCTTAGTCTAGGTCCAAAATTGTAATCTTGTTTCTGAGACCAAGTGGGAGGAAATTGAAGGTTGTTTGGATGTCTGGCCTCTAGAGATTAACCTCCTCTGTCCAGTTTCCAATCCAAATGTGAGGAAAGAGACCTCCCCACCTACCACCCCCACCCACCCTTCCTCTCCCCAATCCCCATTACCTCTAAGAGCAAATGCAAGTCTGCTGAAATGGCCCATTCATGGGCAGAGTTCTGTTTGCCGTGGCAAATGCCATTCCTGTAGGTGTTCCACAGACAGAGCATAATTACTGCTGCGGTCCCGAGAGTGGAGATTGATGGAGCTGATAGATGTGAGGATAAAACTTGCTCATGTTTGCAGGGCTTCTCTAGGATCATTACTTCACAACTGGTTGACAGATGGCGAGTTTATGCATTCAAATTCAAGTCTAAAGATGCTGCTCATTTCTTTGTTATCCTTTCATTTGACATTTTTGGCAGGCTGTGTTTTCATCTGAAACATTATGACGTTGTACAAATGAACAAATTTGGGCATGTTCCTTTTGGCAGAACTGTGCTTTATAGTTGTTGAGGTTTCTAAGGCGGGGTGGGGGGGGGCATGTGGAAAACTACATCATCACGTAACGTATTTTACTGTCTTATCGGGGAGGGTTGGAGGCTTAAGAGAAAAGGAAGTCAAATGAAATTCCGCATCTATGGGCATATCCTTTCTTAAGATGTGTCACTTCATTCCCTACTTGAGACAGAATAAATGAGAAGAAGCTGCACATGGTCGTGGTGCTGTTTTGCCTCGTTATTCTGTCAATATTGGGAGATCATGTAGAGCTATCGTGAAACTTTTAACCTCCCTAAGGCTCTTGGTTAGAATCACAAAGAAATAAAGCAAGGAGTCCGTGAATATCTCTTCCTTTTACTCTTTCTGTGTTTTCATTTACTGGAGAATATTTAAAGGGGAAAACAGGTAGTTTATAAAAGGAATGAAAAAGCATAGATAATGTGCAACCAAGTAAATGAAAGGATCTGTCTTCTAAACAGATCTAGAGATAAAATTTTGCTTGATGCTTTGGAAGTTTGATTGGCTGCCAGGGCCTGTTGGGGTAAAAATCTCACCCCTGAGAGTGAAATTTATGAGTGATAAATGATGTGCTGTGATTGTTAATTATTTTTGTGAGGATATCATCATCCTAGGTCTGCAGATGGAATTGTATTATACTATGGCTGAATTTGGAAATGTTGGCTATTTATATAATATAATGAGAGCTATTTCGAGAACAAAATATTTATAGGGCATGTTTAACCTATAACCTTTTGCAGTTGTCCAGCATTTATCTTTCAAAGATAATACTGCACATGTGACTGAACATGTCTTTGATGTAGTTTTTAATGGAGGAGTAACTGAAACTTTGTAAATTATAAACTTCATTCGTCTCTATAGTTATGACTTATAAATGTCACTATAAATTCATCAGTTGTTATACTCAAAATTCTGACAGTTTATCATTGACATTTATTCAATATAAACTCTTATATTTAGAATTCTAATTCCTTTATTGGCAATGCTGTGTTTGTAGGCCTTAATATATTTTGATACAAGTGAGCAGAGAACTCTTATTAAATTAGAACAGAAATTAAAAAGTTATTATGACTAGATTGCTGTATCAGTGAACATGATACTTGTTTTACTTTTCTTTTTTATTCTATCTAAACTGCAGTATATTTTTTAAATATTCTGCTCTTTATTTTTGTATAAACTCTTCAACAACAATATTGGACTTTTGTTTCAGGTTATTTTGAAATTGGTTTTCTTTTTAGAAGTTTTCTGAACTTTATTTAACCTGAAAATTCAGGTAGTATGGTCAATTTGAACATAATAGTAGCTTCTTGCAATGCCAATAATTAGTAACAAAACTCCATTATTATTTTTGGTGTTTTTATGACTAGTTATTTAAGAATTACTTAACCATTTATAATTAGATTATATATTGAAAGAAGAGGAACAGGATTTCTACAAAGTTTAAGAGCAGTTTTATTCTGTCCTCAGAATTTAGTAAAACCTCAAATAAATTGACTTTTCAAAAGTAATAAAGGTGTTTTGGTCTTCTGTATTATAATGGAAAAGCCTTAAGTATAATTCAACCTATTTATTCAGCACCTGCTATATACTATATTATCTTTTAGTGTTACCAAGATGAATAAATTATAATTTCTAGTCTCAGTGTGCTCAAAAGGTTAGTTTGCGATGCATTTATTATGTCTTTGAACATCAATAGTGTAAAAAGGCATTACTGCTTTTAGTGGCCACTCTCACTATGATCTAATAGGGGAAAGAAAGCAGAATTGAGAATAAGAGTGAGTATATGTAGGTTAATAAACCAGTACTTGCTATGTACTTAGTAGTATGATAAACCTTTGATGGAGAGAGTAGAAGCTTTAAAAAGATGGTGAGATATGAATTTTAAGAAACAATTTATTCAGATTCCCATGATTAACAAAAAAAGGATCAATGCCATATACAAGAGATCCCAAGTGTTACAACTAAATACTGGAGATTTTTAAAAAAATATATATTTTATTGATCTTAGAGAGGAAGGGAGAGGGAGAGAGTGATAGAAACATCAGTGATGAGAGAGAATCATTGATCGGCTGCCTCCTGCACGCCCCCTACTGGGGATCGAGCCCGCAGCCCAGGCATGTGCCCTTGGTCAGAATCAAACCTGGGGCCCTTCAGTGCGAAGGCCAACTCTACCCATTGAGCCAAACCAGCTAGGGCAAAATACTGGAGATTTTTATGAAGGATAAGTTCTTTGGGAAAATGGAAGGTCAAAAAGGAAAATTTTGGATCTTTTTTTTTTTGAGATGTGAATAAGATTTGAAAAGATAGAGAAGAGAAGGAATTAACAGAAAATAGGAATGAATAGGAAGTTAGTACAAGATTAATCCATGTTGCTCTTTTCTACACTGAAAAAAAAATAGTGGCGAAACTCTAGAGTTTTAGGGTTAAAATTAACTATTACTGGTTTTTAGGTGTGGGATCATCCATTTTTAGAAATGTAGAAAAAAGATCCATTGCTTTTTAAAAATAGTTCTCAAATAACCTGACATCTCTAGGTACCAATTTGCCTGTCTCTTTTATGAAGAACTCACTGGTGAGGTGAACTGTTTTGCATCAAATGGGTGTGTTAATGTGGGATCACAGATCTTATTAGTTAGAGAGAAATTGAAATATGTAATAAACAGCCTTTTATTTGGAAACAAAATTCATTGCTACTTTAGGTGAATTCTATTTTAGTTTAGACTGATTATAACCTGGAACATTTTCACAGTGTTGCAATTTATAATTTTATGTGACAAGGTTGCTCTGTGGGTTGAAGATATATATGCATATATGGCTAAGCCTTGTGCGTAGACAAAACTACCATGTAGGAACCAGGAACCAGTTAAGATCAGTGCCCTGGGATCACTCATGGACTTCATGGGTGGGAAGGTGTGTCAGCATTGTGGCTGTGGATTGGAGAGCACCCATAATTTTTCATAAACGGAAACAAATTAAAAGTAAGTTTAATTTTGAAAAGTTTGAAAACCCATAGGAAACAATCCATTTGGGGGCTGATGAAAACATAATTAACAATTATCTTCAATATATTTTTGTTTTTAAGTGTGTGGTTTTTTTTAATGGTTTATCTATTTAAAGTTGTTTAGTTTATCGCTCTAGGAAATCCTACCATTTTTTGGTTCATGAGTCTGTGCATGTAAATTCATTACAAAAACAAATTATAAAGAATAATCTCGATTGCTTTCCAAGTTCTAAAGTTGTGAATGAGTGAAATTGCTCAGTTCATTCAATTGT